TTTTGCCTTAGCACAGGCATACAGTTTCCTGGAACTGTTTATACCATTTTCTTATACTCTTAGATGTCTGTACATTTCTATGGTACTTTTTCCTAAATTCACGCTGAACCGTGATTATTGATTCCTTGCAAACGAGAGCACACAAAATGCCTTCTCCCGCTGCAACGCCATTTCAACTTTTGTTCAAAATTTCAGAAACACTTTGATTTCAACATTGCTGCCTCCTATTGGGCGAAAACAATGTTACAAACTCAAAATTTTATATTTTATCTTTACAATGACATCTTAACTCTCACTTATTCATACAGAAATTATTAAATTTTAAAATCGGAACATATGTATATTCATTCTTGCTGACCCGTACTTTTAAAGCATTTAATATTAACACAGAACATATTGTTATTTTAGCTACCCACCAACAGGAGCTAATAATACTAGCTTACCAAAAATTTTGGATGAAAAAAACGAAGCAAACATTCAGAACAGGACGAAAAGATATCAAAGTATATTTAAACTTATTTAACCTTTGGCCCTATCTTGCGAATGTTTGCATTAAAATAAAAAAAAAAAAAAAAAAAAAAAAAAAAAAAAACAGTATGGTTGAAAGAAAATATAAAGGCAAAAATAAAATCGTGATATAAAATATGAAAATTAAAAAGAAAAATGTAGTTAATTAAAATAATTTTTTTAAATCTGTCTTGAATCTTTAACTTATTAGAAATGTAATTATATAAAGAAATTTATATAACAGTTAAGTCATGTTATGAACAATAATTAATAAATCTATAAGGGGATCAAACTTATACATATACATAAATACTCTTGTTGTTACTTATGCCGCCTGATCTGTAGTCTGATCAAGGTCCACGAAATTCATCGTGACAAGAGGTTTAGATCACCATACAGGTGACAGTACGATTTTTCTCGGTTCCACCCCAATTTTTAGGGAGAACGCCCTGGGGGGATCAGAGGCTTCCCACCTCTCTTCCTCTTCTACCAACCTCACGAGAGGACATGCAACTCGACGGGTGTTTTGCCGCCAAGGCACGAAACATTTGCAAACATCCATGCCTTCTCCCAGGCCCTAAGGTATCGCAGTCAGCGTCACTATACCTGATTTGCGGTCATACATTCGTATAATGCATCCATTTCCAAGGGGTCTCAGGGGTATTAAATTTTTCTAGAGGTCTGAAAATATAAACAATTTTCAAACAGGTATAGTTCTTTTAAATTTAAATTAAATTATTCGAATCTTTTACACATTATTCTTAAAAGAATGGGGCTTCAGAAAAGTATAAAATGTTTAAAATATAATCATAATTTTAAAAATCATAAGCATATGAAAATTCTATGATAAATATTAAGTATTTTTTGAGTTGCGTACGCTATTTTCTAAAATAGTAGCTTTAATTACTAGTAGTGTAAGTTGAATAATAAAGTTAAATGTATTATCATTACACTGTAGCTATTTTTATATAAATAGAATAATAACTTACATATTTTAATAAATA